AGTCAAGGTATTGACTTAAACAGAACAAAAAACTAAGATATGAGATTAAATACGGAATCAACAGATGTGCTTCAAGGTAATACAGGAGTGAAGGAAGTGGGTAGACAAAACAACACTGGCTGTATATTGATAATTTGTTTTATCTGGGTAATGGATAAAGGGGCTTTGTTATACTACTCTGTTTACTTCTAATTACATTTGAAATCTTCCATAATAAAACGTTGGGTTTTTTTTTTTTTAAGGTAACCATGAGTAAAACATAATGCACCTATCAAATGAAAGAGAAGGGAAAAGGGGGAGGTACTGTGAACTAAATCTTGATGGCCTAAAATATATAAAGTTGGAAAACTGAAAAACAGAGGTATAAACATTACAGGCACAACTACAAATGATTAAAAAGAGTTGCCTCACAGAAGTCAAAGTGGGAGTCAAAGGTGTGAGGCATGATAAATCTTTTTTACTACAAGCTTTTTAAAAAAAAAAAATTTTTAATTACACATTTTAATTAAAAAACCTATTGCTTTAAAAGCTGATCAAATGTTTAATAGAAAAAATAGCAGTTAAGATGCTTATCATTTATACTTTAAATAAACAATTAGCTCATAAGATGGAAGGATTTATAATATATCTTAACAATACTACCAAGTATTCTAAACCTCATTCTTAATTATATTTTTTAGGTTATGCTATCTTAAAATGAAATAAGTTATCCCTGTATGCTATTAAATTTTATTTTCTTTTGTTAAAAAAAGAAGAGAAGTTATCTCATCAGATTTAATTTAAATGAAATTAATAATTAGATTAAATCAGAATAGAACTTTAGCATCATTAAACATCATTCCTGCATTTTACCATTATAATTTAAAATCTAAGCAAGTTAATTGTCATATTTTTTAACTGTCAAGTCTTATTAAAAAGCTGATGATGTAATATAAAATAAAACTAATTATCTTACCTCCTTTTCTTCACCAACTTGGTCCAAACTCTCATGACTTGAAGGATTATATGGAATTACTGAAAACACAATCCCAAACATGGGGGGGAAAAAAGAAAAAGAAAAGGAGAAAAACACAGCACCCATTAACTGAGTTTGACTTAAAATGTTCTCATGATTTAAGTTTTTCAGAATAAGTTTTCATTATTTAAAATTGAGTATCTGTCTACTAGTAATAAATTGTATGTATTCGTGAGTTAAATCCTAATCTTTAATGAGAGGGGAGAGCAAGAACCAATTAGCAGCCAAGTACTGATCTTAACAAATATTTCTGGTATTTTGAAAATATTTCTCCTCTTCACAAATTAATCAATTCCTTCTGTAAGGGTGACTCTATAAACCTTATTCAGTTATTTTAATATGACTAAGGCATAGAGATAGGTGCCTTTGGTTTTTACTCCTCACTTCCTTCATACTCAAAATGTTCCTAACTACCAAACCACATAGGTCAAGTAAAGAACTGACAAAGATTGAACTCTAGGTATCTATTCCTTAAAGCTACTTCAGGCCAAAAAACCCCCCACATTTCATATAACCAGCTTCTTGCATGAACAAGAAACTATATTCTGTCCTTCCAGAAAAACTCCCTCACCTTCCCTTTCTGGATTCATCTGAGATCAGTACGCTCTGCCCAGTTAATTGCTCCCCAAACTTCGCAGATATATATTTAAGGTTCTGTATCTATTTGACATCTGAGGTCACATGATCTATTTTGAATTTTCAATACTGCATCTCTGTGTCTTTTACATAATTTCACTTCTGATAATAAAGCTTTTAATAAAAACAGATCACCCGAACATTCAACATGACCCACAAAATCAGTATGTTTCATTGTTGAAAAAAACTGGTTTGCTCAATTTAAAAAAAGTCTTAGAAGAAATTTATCTGAATTACAGAAAAGAGTCATTTGTTGTAGTTTACACAGCTGTCTTCTTAAAACGCCAAAGGTATATGTTAAATATTGTGACTGACAGTACCATTGCAAAATAGGGTTAACTAACTTTTAATTTGGGAAGAACATAACTGGTTTTAAACTTAAGTTAAAGAATCACCTAAGGAAGTCTTTAAATGATACTCTATTGATGAACAATGGTTCCTGCCAGTGTCATTCTTACCTGTCTGCGCATGGTCTGAATGCATGGATGACTGGTCCATGGGCATCATTGGTTCCTGCAAATATTTCCAAAGACACAGTAACTTGGTGGGTTCTTTCTAAATCCCAATACCACTATAAATTCAGAAACATTATTTCAACGAGACACAGCATATTAAAATTTAAACTTGAAAGGATATAACTTGGGGTGCCTGGGTGGCTCAGTAGGTTAAGCATCTGCCTTCGGCTCAGGTCATGATCCCGAGGTCCTGGGATCGAGCCCCGCATTGGGCTCCCTGCTCTGCGGGAAGCCTGCTTCTCCCTCTCCCACTCCCCCTGCTTATGTTCCCTCTCTCGCTGTCTCTCTGTCAAATAAATAAATAAAATCTTTAAAAAAAAAAAAAAAGACTACTCAAGAATATCAACAGTAACCTAAATAATGTTCACAATTTTTGGCCTTGTTTTTTTCCTTAAGATGAGATTTTCACCTCCCTAACGACAAACCCCCTCCTGAGCTTATATGAACTAGCTAAATAATTCTAATGCCAAAGAGCCACCAATAATAACCTACATTCACAATGTCCAAAGAAGATACTATGAATAAATATGGTGTACTCATTCTAGAAGACAATTTAGAAAGATGCATCCAGATCTTTTTTTTTTTTCTTCAGGCGGGGTAGGGAGGGACAGAGGGAAAGGGAAAGAGGGAATCCTAAGCAGGCTCCATACGCAGCATGGAGCTCACAACCCTGAGATCATGACCTGAGCTGAAATCAAGAGGCAGATGCTTAACTAACTGAGCCACCCAGGCCCCTGCATTCAGATCTTTTTAAAAATGCATATCCTTTAAGCCAATAATTTACTTCTGGATCCTTAAGGAAATAGTAAGATTTATTTACCAGAAAGTTCATTTATGATTTTCGTTACAGGAAAATGTAGAAAACAACTCAAATGTACAATCATGGGGAACAGGTTAAGTAAATGATGACACAGATATATAACAAATTATTCTAAAATTGGTAAGGATATAGATAGATATGGAAAGGTGACCAAGATATAAAGTTAAGTGAAAAAAATGGGTTAGAAAACAGTATATATATCTCACTTTTGTTAAAAACTATGTAGAAGAATGAGACTCAAACATTATGCACATTCTGAAAAACACTCCACCTTCTATGAAGCAGTCTCAAAAACAATCTACAAAACTTCTAGATCCAACTGTAATACACAGAAATTAAAGAGGACAGGGGAACATGTTAAACATAACCATAAAGAAGCAAAGAGAAAAATACTGTAACACTTTAAATGACAACATAATTTCTGCTATATTTAAATTTTAAGGGGTGGGGGAAAGAGAGAGAGAGAGATGGAAGGAAGAATCAGTAAGTTAAAAAATATCTAGGACACATATCAGTCAACTGCAGATATGGACTACATTTAGATCCTGATTCAGAATGAAAACTGTAAAAACAAAATTTTCACATTTATGAGGCAAATTAAATTTTGAACATTGAACAAGGAATTCTCTTTTTAGTTTTTAAAGAGTCCTTATCTTTTAGATTTGTTTCAAAATAATACAGGATGAAAGCAGGTTATATGGGTGCAGGCATAGCTGAAATAGGACTGGTCATGAGCTGGTACCTATTGAAGCCGGGTGACTGGTATACGGAAGTTCATTATACTGTTACACCTACAAAAATATTTAAAATTTTTCCATATAGAAAATCTTCCATATAGAAATTTTCTATATGGAAAATTTCAAGTATTTATGCATATAAATTTGCAAAGAAAAAGTTCTGGAAGGATATACACCAGAAGACAATTACCTTTAGACAGCAGATCTCATGGTGGATTTTTATGTAATTTTTCTTTCTTTATCTATATTTTCTATTATGAACATGTTGTAACTGCATATTTAAAATAGAAAGCGAGGGGTGCCTAGGTGGCTCAGTCGTTAAGCATCTGGCCTTCGGCTCAGGTCATGATCCCAGGGTGCTGGGTTCGAGCCCCGCATCGAGCCCCACATCGGGCTCCCTGCTCAGCAGGAAGCCTGCTTCTCCCTCTCACACTTCCCCCTGCTTGTATTCCCTCTCTCACTGTGTCTCTGTCAAATAAATAAATAAAATCTTTAAAAAATAAGAAATAAAATAAAATAGAAAGTGAAAATAAAAATTTTAAATTCAAAAACTCCCCAGTTTAGCATCTGTTTAGTGTAGATGCTAAAACAATGAGAGCTACAAACTAATGAGCTTATCTTAAGAGAAAAAAGTCTCTTAAATAGTTCTCCCTACCTCTTCCTAATTTAACCGGATTTTGTAGCAGATTAAATCAAGAAGTTAACTACATACCATAAACAAATTTATAATAACAATTCCAAAACTCACAATATGTCAACTGGACTGTAAAGTTACATTCTGTAACAACACTGTTGAACTGTGATTCCTTACCACCTCTGTATTTTAGCTCTCTGTCCTAGCAGTGTTACTGAAAATGTTCTATTAAAATAAGACAGTTGTGTCTTACCGGTGGCATAGAATGCCGCCCACATTCGATGGTGACAAGTTTGTGGCACTTCTTATGAACCAGGAGTTTGCAGTTGATGCACTTATATCCCTGACGTCCAAGTCCCCATATTCGGTCAGTACAGATGGCACAGTGGGCACGCTGGAAAGAGTAATTCAACAGTATTTTATTAACAAATAAAAAGTCATAATCATTTGCCAACAGTTTGCTGATAAAATAGTGAAAATAAGGGGTGGCTGGGTGGCTCAGTCAGTTTAAGTGTCTGAATCTTGATCTCGGCTCAGGGCATGATCTCAGGGTGGTGAGAATCTAGCCCTGTGTCAGGGCTCTACGCTGGGTGTGGAACCTGCTTGGGATTCTCTCTCTTCCTCTCCCTCTGCCCCTCCCACCCCCATCCACTCACTCGCTCTCTCAAACAAACAAACAAAAAAAGTGAAAATAAGTGGCTTTCTTCTCTAACTCAATTCCCTTCATCATACATAACTTTTCCAAAGCTATGATGGTCACAGAAAAATAAACAGAAAAAAGTTTTATTTGCAAGAATGAAATCTGCAACCATGTTGTTTTCTGTTATAAGTTCAAGAATTTTTAGTCTTCACATAAACTCAGAGTATTGAAAATAGTAAAAGTGAATTAAACTTGAAAAATATAGGCAGAAAAAGCTATGCAAGGACTCCCAAGCAAACATAAACCTTCCAGACTGGTCAGAGGTCAAACCAAAGCCCTGCTCTCAGAGCAATTCCTGAAGTGACTTGCTCATTTCAAAGCTTTTTAAATATCAGGGCTACTGGGAAAAGGATTTTGGGAACCTCGGGTCGTAGCTTTTATTTACGTGAATGAATTCAGAACATGGCACTACTTTTACAATGGAAATGGGGTCCATGTATTTGTAGATATCAAGAGTAGTTAAAAACAATCGACTTCTTTCAAACCTTGGCTCTGCCACTTACTAGCTGTGTCATCTTGGGCAAGTTATTTAACCGCCCCACACCTCAGCTTTTTCATCTATAAAACAGAAATACATAGTACCTATCTCACAAGGTTGTTGTAAAGATTAAATGGGTCAATAGATGTCAAGCATTTGGAAAAGTACCTGGTACATAGTAAAAGCTAGGTAAATGGTTTGCAATTATTATTTTTGAAACAGTGGAAGTTAAAATTACACTAAAAGGTTTGCAAAATAAACTTTGCTTATTTTCTGGTTGTCTGGAATTATAGTAAAAAAGCCAACTTTCTTTTAGCTAAGGTAACTATATAATTCAGTCAGGGGTATTTTTAAGAGTGAAAGGAGATGCTATTAAAAATTACCTGAAGATAACAGGAATACCGCCCCAGGCAAACTGGGAATGTTGTCACCCTACTGACTCCTTTAAAAGGGAAAACAAGAGTACTTTTCTTTCACAGTAGTGAGGAAAAAAATAGTTATCTCAAATTATTAATATTTAACAAACTAAGGTTTACCCTGTTGAAACGCTTGGCTTGAAAAGTGTGGCCATTTGCACAATAAAGCTTTCTCCAGCGGCGTGCACCTCTGCGGTAGATGGATTCTAAAGAGAGATAAAAAGTTAAAAAAAGAAAAAAGAGCAACTGTGAATAAAAGTCTTTTTATAATTAAGTCTGTGATTTTTTTTTCATGATATTCACTTCAAAAAAAAAATATCCTGATAAAAACCTGAGAGTGAAAAAAATAAAATAGATTCACCAAGGGACTAAATGAAAACAAAGCCCATGGAGTAAAAATGTATTAAAAATTACTATTCAGTCTTCTCTGTCTTTTAATTTTCCCCCCAATTTTTGGGCGCCTGGGTGGCTCAGTCGATTAAGCGTGTGCCTTCAGCTCAGGTCATGATCCCAGAGTCCTGGGATCAAGTCCCGAATTGGGCTCCCTGAATAGTGGGGGAGTCTGCTTCTCCCTCTGCCCCCTCTGCCCCCAGCCCCCACTCATGCTCACTCTCTCACTCTTACAAAAGTAAAATAAATAAAATTAAAAAAAAAAAATTTCCCCCAACCTTTAATTTTGAAAAATCTTAAGCCCACAGAAAAGTTGAAAGAACAGAATAATAAACAGCTGCATCCTTCACGTAGACTTACCAATATCTAACATTATGCCGCATTTGCTTTCCTCTCTATACACATGCCTTTTTTATGTCTGCATCATTTAAAAGTAAGTTGCAGATATAACAGTTCACCCTTAAACACCTAAGTATCCACTCACTGCCTTAGATTAAGGGCGTTTCCCCTAATTCTACTTAACCCTAATACCATTACCATGTCTTAGAAAATCAACATTAATTCAATATCATCTGATAGACAGCTCAAATGCAAATAGCCCTGTTTGCCCTCAAAGTATCTTTCATAGCTTTCTTTTTCTCCCCAGGATCCAATCAAGACTCAAGCATTGCCTTTGGTTGCTATACTTTTTTTGTCTCATGAATGTATGCTGAAACGGTCATGCTGCCATATTTGCTGTTGTTTATTCTTTGTGATGTTGATTTTTTTTTTTTAAGAGTCCAGGCAGTTGTCTTATATTATGTCCTACATTCCGGATTTGTCTGTTTCCTCATTAGAATCAGTATCAAATATTTTTGGCAAAAATAATATATAGGTGCTATGTATTGCTTGTATCACATCAAGAGATAAACAAATGTCAGATTGCTGACTCCCAGTTCAACCACTCTGTTAAAGGCAGTGACTGTTTCTTCTCTTCATTGTAAAGGTACATTTTACTTACTTTCATAGATGCTCTAAAAGGGACACTTTGCAACCACAAGAATATCTTCCCCATTAATCTTTTTTTTTAGAGGGGGAGAGGGCAGAAGGAGAGGGAGAGAGAGAATCTTAAGCAGGCTCCACGCCCAGCACTGAACTAAGGTGGGGCTGATCTCGTAACCCTGAGATCATGACCTGAGCTGAAATCAGAGTCAGAGGCTGAACGAACTGAGCCACCCAGGCGCCCCTCCCCATTAATCTTTAATCCAATGGTTTTTATATTAATACTTTTTCTAAACAAACTAAGAGGTTCCATAAGACCAAATCTAGTTGACCTGTGTAATTCTGGTTAAGTAAGTCAATCACTATTATACATACTGTCTATTAGTCATTAATATTCCACAGCAATAGTTAATATACTGGTAGAAAGAGTCCATTAGGTTTCTAAACTCATATTTTAAAGCAGATGTAGCACTGGGTTTATCATTTAAAATTAAGATAGAAAAAACGAGATGAAATGCTTTGAATTAGAAATCTTAAGATAGCATAATACAGAACTGTAAATACAGATGCTTGGGGAGCCTGGATCGAGCCCCACGTTGGGACTCCCTGCTCAGTGGGGTGTCTGCTTCTCCCTCTCCCCCTGCCTCTCCCCCTGCTTGTGCTCTCTCTCTCTCTCTCAAATGAATAAATAAAATCTTGAAATAAATAAATAAATAAATACAGATGCTTTTATTTTTATTTATTTATTTACTCTGTTAGGAGTAACCAAAGCAGAAAGTTTCTGTTAATCGTATCTTAACCTAGGGGTGCCTGGGTGGCTCAGTCTTTGATCCATCCATCATTGGAACTCCGGCAAAATATTCTTAACTGAATCCAGACCTAAATTTTTTACTATTGCTTCAGGGTTCTATCTACTTCCTTAAATTTCCCCATTTCCTATATAGTACATGGCCCCCATTCAACTCTATATAAATATTCATAGCTCTTTAATTTTTCCTTTTCACCAAGTTGCAGGAAGAGTCACAGAACTGGGGTGCCTGGGTGGCTCAGTTGGTTAAGCGTCTACCTTCGACTCAGGTCATGATCCCAGGATCCTGGGACTGGGTCCCACATTAGGCTTCCTGCTCAGCAGGGAGCCTGCTTCTCCCTCTGCCTACCGCTCCCCCTGCTTGTGCTCTCTCTCTTTTTCTCTCTCTCAAATAAATAAATAAAATCTTAAAAAACAACAACAAAAGAGTCACAGAACTAAAAGTTTAGAACTACTTTACTTAACTCAAGGGATAACACCACTATTCTTTCTAAAGTCATGGCCATGTGCAGAAACCAGAAATGAAAATGAGTAATATCCACAACTAATAAGTTATACTGAATATCAAAAGCAGTAACTTATGATCGTAAGCAAGTTTAAGTTCCATCAGACCAGAGAGTTGACTCTTTTAGTTCTTCTCACTAATGATAACTATCAGCCTAGACATTCAAAAGAAAATCCCTAACAATTTCTAACTACACATGCTCAAGTCTTTAGAGAGGAAGCATCATGTTACTTTCAAATGGTACACTAAAAAAATAAAAATAAAACAAGCATGTTTCTTACGTATATACATGTATGCCTATGTGTGAACACATACAGATGCAGAGTAAAGCAAACACAGAAAATGTTAATAATTGGTCAATGAAGGCAAAGGATATCTTTGTGTCTTTGTTTTCAATGTTGTTTCAACTTCTCCATAGGTTTGAAAATTTCCAAAATTAAAAACCAGAAAGGAACATGACTTAAAATTCACTTAATTTTCCTTTCAAATGCACAACAGACCCTTACGTCAGTAACTTGTAACTAAGAACTGCCTGATTTTCATCTGGCAAAAGCAGAGAATTTAGGCAGTTGCTAAGATAGTCTAAATTAGACTAAAGAATGGAAAAGAAATCAAATAGACTAAAAGTTCTATTTCTGGTTTCCTTTCACTTGTGCCATTGTGCCGTAAGTAACTCTACACTCAAAGATGTGAAGTGTATACACACTCACTGTCTTCTCCTGGACAGGGCATTCCAGGACGTTCTGGTACACAAGGGAAGACTGAAAGAAATTAAATTAAATTAATATAGCAAATTAAAAACATACAAATTACAAAGAATTTTAATTTCTAATATCAAAAAAACTGACCCAAATTTCAACCTGACCCTCTCTTAGCATGTGGTCAGTAATATTTTTTCAAGGGATTCATTTATCAAGGCTATATGAAAGAAGTTTTCATGAAAAGTGAACAGCCAAAATCAAGCACACTAGAAGCTCAAATTATTCATGCTAGTCCCTGTTATGTTACCAATTGATTTTTTTTTTGTCCTTAGAGAAATCATTAACTACTATTTCCCTAAATCTTTGTTGTACTGTCAAGTTTGCTACAATGAAAAATTAAAACTGAATTACAAAAATATATACAAATATGAACATAAACCATTACAGTTCTTAAAAGATGTACACTGAATTTAGGAAAAAATTTACACCACTAAGAGTACCCAAATCCAAAAAATGTAAGTTTTATCTTAGGAACTATAAATTTATAAACAGGCTAATTCAGACCATTTTTATAAAGAGATAGAATATAAAGACATAGTGTATTTATGAACTAGCCAACTATTTGTAGTCTGTGATGTACAAAAGGACATGGCTTAAAAAAAACACAACACACGATGTATGAGAAGCTCAGGTCCCAATATATTCTTAAAAGTTGAAATATAAGCTAACTTCTAAAAACAGTTCTGTGATATGGTATAAAAATAATAAAAACTTAAAACAAACTGTTAATACATTCACTTCTTTAAACATTCACTGTAGTTTTATTCTAGAAAGAGATGACTCCAAAAATGGATGACTTCTGAAGTTCTGCTAGGACCTCAATAAGTTAGATTATGGATCCCTTAGGAGTCACTATGTCAAACTCTGAAGGTAGAAAAATATTAAGCTACTGATTTTTAAAAAACACACTATAAAGAAAAGTACATGGGAATCATAACAAGGGGCTGACTCATTATACTTATGGGAGATTTATATTTGTTCAAGTTTTAAAGAGTTCTGTACGTCTGGTCTCCTAAAAATGTTACATGAAATATTGCCAATGAAATGCAATATATAAGTGGGTTTTACATGACATAAAAAATTTGAGGGGTAGCATAGTAGAATGAAAAGAACATTGACTTGGAAGCAGAATACCTAGATTTTATACCCAGGTCTACAATGCACCATTACATGATGGCTGAGTTTTGTCTCTTCTATACCACTATCCAGCTTGTGGGCCCGCAGATGTTTAACACACTAATCTCTATAACTATGTAAGTAGTTTCACTGTTAACCCTCAAATAAAAGAAAGGACATTTCAGATACCTTCTCTTTGGAGATTATTATTTGCATACATTACCAAACTGCAAGGGAATGACTTAAAATTCTACTAGGCACTCAATTTTAAATTCTCTCCTAAACTTTGCTGTGAAACACTTGAGAGATGATCAGTTTAATATCCATGAAGGCATACCCAAATAACAAATTTCCCAATATTATAAGACAATTGATTTTATTTTCTCTAGCATTTGAGAAGCTACTAAATACGAACAATTACATAGCAGTGAGGGATAGAGATTAAGAAAAAGACATCAGAATTATGTTTTAAAATGGTCAAGAATATAGGGTTATTTAAAAAAAATTATAGCTCTAGAAGAGTAAGAAATGACTACTCCTTTACCATGAATCAAGAGTTCAGAATCCTTGTTTAGCTCATAAAGCCTAAAGGCTTCTTCTAACTCCAACTGAGATGATACTGTACACGGGTCTCCTAAAAAATATAAAAAATAAAGCAAAGCTCACTTTTTAAATCCTCTAAAATGTAATGTTTAATAAACAATTTTCATTGCATAAAATCTTGAGCAATAACAATTTCCATTATATAAAATCTTGAGAAAAACAACTATATATATATACATAGAGAAGTATCTGACAAGGACAAATTTTAGATACTTATTTAGACAATTCTATTTTCTAAAGTAGGTAACATAACTTCCATTTCTATCACTACAAAATATTACATGAGGCTCATCGATACCAAATTTGATACATATAAAAACCATTTAATTCTCAATAACATGTATATTCAAAATATAGCAAACGGAATCTACCCTGACCACATCTGGACTGTTACTACAATATGACTAATGGCCAGGGACAAGCTTTCTGTTACCTACCTCTTCAAAGGAGGAAGTGAAAGTGGTTTCACTGCCATAATATGGTTGGTTAGAGGCCTCCATGTAATCATTCTGTCAATTTTTTCCTTCACCTGAGAGCCTTTCTTCACCCAAGAGGCTCACAGAAAGGAAGCACAGCTACTAAAGTACTTTGGACTGAAGAGCAGTCCTGCTTGAGCTGCTTTTAAATGTGAATGCATAGTTTTAGTAAACTTACCCACAAAAAGGCCAACAGAGAAACACCTCCCTAGTCAACCAGCCAAAGAACTGAGTCATCCCTGGTAAACAATGAGATGGCACATCTCCCCAGATGATGGCATTCCTCAATGAAAAAGTCATTTTGATCACAGTTGAGGCCTGAGCTGGGTCCTCCACACTGCAATGCTTTTGCACATTCCTGTGGTTACACCAAATGTGACCACACACAAGATGCCACCAACCTTATCCAAACCTCAGTCACTCTCAGCAGAGAACTATGTCTATTACTCAAGAGAGAAAAATGAAGCCATCTCCTTTCCTGCAGTCTCAGAGAAATGAGTGCTTCTATACCTTTCTCCAACTTGGAGACTCCCTTATTGAATCTCTTCCTTTTATCTTCTCTGGGCCTTATCCCATTAGTCCCCTTCAGTTCCGTTTTCATTTTTTCTTTCCTTCCACTAGCTCTTCTCAGGCAAAGGCATGTCTGAGTCTCCCTCTCAATAATCTCCCTCACACTCAGGCTGCCATGCCATTCATTCAGTAGCCACATGTCTCAAGAGCAAACTGAAGACTGAAACTGGAGGGGGTGGGTGAGAAGAAGGGGAAGAAGGGCCTTCGGTTTTTGACCTCATACTTTTCTTTCGTGAGTTTAGTCAGAGGTTTATAATCTTTTAGACTTATTGGAAATAACTTTTCTTAATATCAAGAGCGACCCGGGCGCCTGGGTGGCTCAGTTGGTTAAGCGACTGCCTTCGGCTCAGGTCATGATCCTGGAGTCCCTGATCGAGTCCCACATCGGGCTCCCTGCTCAGCGGGGAGTCTGCTTCTCCCTCTGACCCTAACCCCTCTCATGTGCTCTCTCTCTCAAATAAATAAATAAAATCTTTAAAATATATATATATATTTTATATATATATCAAGAGTGACCCCACCCTGCTTTCTCCATGTTCCTATCCTCTCAAAATTCCGCTAACCGGTTTTAGTCCACACACTCTACTAAAACTACTATATCCAAGGTCATGAAAAGAGCCGCTAAAATCAACAGGACCTTTTCTGTCTTTACTCTAATGGACCTCTCTATAGCATCTAACAAAGTTGCCCACTGACTATAGAAATTCTGCATCTACGTTTCTTTTTTTAAACTTATTTTATTTAAATTCAATTAGTTAACATATAGTGTATCATTAGTTTCAGATGTAGAGTTCAGTAATTCATCATTTGCATGTAACACCCAATGCTCATTACATCACATGCCCTCCTTAATGCCCATCACCCAGTTACCCCATCCCTCCACCAACATGCACCTAGGTTTCTAAACACCATTCTCCTGGTTTACTAACTCTCCTTTTTAACTTTTCATTTTGGGAATTTTCTTTTTCTTTTTTTTTTTTTTTTTAAAGTAGGCTCCACTCCCAGCCTGGAGCCCAGTGCAGGACTTGAACTCATGACCCTGAGATCAAAATCTGAGCTGATATCAAGAGTCAGGCACTTAACCAACTGAGCCACCCAAGTGTCCCTCATTTGGGAAATTTTCAAACATATTACCAAATCTGGATTCCCCCTACATATCCACTCACTTATTCCCTTCTACCTTATCATTCTGAACAAAAACCTGTAACTCTAGATTAAAATTCCTTACTATAGGGGCGCCTGGGTGGCTCAATCATTAAGCGTCTGCCCAGGGTCCTGGGATCAAGCCCCGCATCGGGCTCCCTGCTCTAAGGGCTCCCTGCCCCACGGGAAGCCTGCTTCTCCCTCTGCCACTCCCCCTGCTTGTGTTCCCTCTCTAGCTGTTTCTCTCTGTCAAATAAATAAATAAATAAAATCTTTAAAAAAATAAAAAAATAAAATAAAATTCCTTCCTATAATCACAATACCATTATAAACCTATAAAGACTAACAAAAATTCACTATAAAATATCCAAACATAACCATATGCAAAAGAATAAAGTTGAACTTTTATCTTATACCATACACAAAAATTAACTCAAAATGGATGAAAGACTTAAATTTAAGAGCTAAAACTATAAAATCCTTGGAAGAAAACATAGGGAGAAAGCTTCATGACATTGGGTTTGGCAATGATTTCTTGGATTTGACACCAAAAGCACAGGCAAGAAAAAAAATGAACATTAGTCCAAAGAAGATATACAAATGGCCAATGAGCACACACAAAGATGTTCAACATCACCAATCATTAAGAAAATGAGATACCTCCTCCTTGTGATGAGACTACACAGAGAGGGAGAGAGAACCAACCAGGCCAGCATCCCTGGTGAGCCTGCATGACTCCAGACCCAGCTGTCCTCTGGTTGCCACTGCATGAGAGACCTCTTGTGAGACCAGCAGAGCCAGTCAACTCACAGAAGTGTGAGAGATTATAAAATAAAGTGGTGGGGGTTTTTTAAAGCTACTACACTTTGAGGTGAGTTGTTATGGAACCAACAACTTACTACCAACTTTTAAGTCGAATCGTGAAATTCTGTGAATCTTTACAAGACTCAGGACAAATGCCACCTATTCTGAACAGCCTTACCTCAGGAGGTAATATTTCACATTTTATGAAAAGCTTAAGGATAACCTAATTTTTAATAATATCTTTATTGAGATATAATTCACATAGCATTCAATTTACCCATTTGAAGTGTACAGTGGTTGTCAGTATGTTCACAGAGCTGTCAACTATCAATATAATTAATTTTAGAACATTTTCATTATCTCCTCCTCAAAAAAGCCCCTTGCCCATAGCGGTCACTCTCCATTTCCCCCCAAACTCTCCTCCTACTGCCAGATCTAGGCAACCACTAATCTATTTTCAGTACCTAGATTTGCCTTTTCTGGACATTTCATATAAATGGAATCATACAGAATGTGGTCTTTCATGTCTGTCTTTTTTCCCTGAACATGTTTTCAAGGTTCATCCACGTTGTACAATGTATCAGTACTTCAATCCTTTTTATTAGTGAATAATATAGCAAATATTCTTGAAGTATTTGTGTGTTTGAATAACTTCTCATGATGATTTTCTAAAAGTAGGATTGATTGGTTTAAAGTGTGCCCATTTGGGGTGCCTGGGCAGCTTAGTCGGTTAAGTTTCCAACTCTTGATTTCGGCTCAAGTCATGATCTCGGGGTTGTGAGATCGAGCCACGCAACAGGCTCCGTTCCCAGCAGAGAGTCTGCTTGGGATTATCTCCCTATCCTTCTCCCTCCCTCTCTGTCCCTCTCCCTGCTTGTGCTCTTTCTCTCTCTAAAATAAACCTTTAAAAAAATAAAATAAAGTGCCCCCATTTAAAATTTTGACAATTATTCCAAAATTTAGAATGACAGAAACTCCAAAAGGTTATCATATACACAATCAACAGCATATCTTTCTTAAGTCCCTATAAGTAATTACTAAATTTTAAATCTCTTCTAATCTGATAGGTGAAAATGTCTTATTTTTAAATCTTTGGTTTTTTAAATTAGTAATTTTTGAGCTTTTTTGGGTCATTTATGAATTAGCTATCTACACTTGTTTAAGTAGATTTTTCATCTATTTTTTTGACCTAATTATTTTATATTAGAGATAGCAATCCTTTGTAAATGTTACAAATATTTTCTGTCAGTTGTTACTATTCTTATATCTGTGATTATGGTGTTTTCTAACACACAAAATTAGGAAAATTCTTCCCTTTTTACATTTCCTTTTTCAGTATTTTCCTGTTTATTTTTCCAAATGAAATTGTCAGTTTTTTAAAATTCCCATTAGAATTTTTTGGAAGTATCATGCTCTTTATAGATTGATCTGTAGGGAGCTCTCATTTTACACGATGCTTCTTCCTAACCCCATTCATTTTAAGTTTTGCTTATGGCATCCAGTTGTTTTTGTTTCAGTTTCTTTACATGGTTTCTTCACATTTTTATTTTTTTTAAAGATTTTATTCATTTATTTATTTGCCAGAGAGAGAAAGAGCACAAGCAGAGGGAACAGCAGGCAGAGGGAGAAGCAGGCTCCTCTCTGAGCAAGAAACCCGATGCAGGACTCGATCCCAGCACCCTGGGATCACGACCCAAGCAGAAAGCAGATGCTTAACTGACTGAGCCACCCAGACATCCCTCTTCACATTTCTTTAAAGTTTATTTCTAGATTTAAAAAAAAATTTTTGTTGTTACTATGGATGAAATCTTTTCTTCTGATATACTTTCTGAGTATAATCTACATAAAAGAAAGACTGGTTCTCTCATATACCCACTTTATAACTTAGTGTTATTGATATCTTTAAAATGCTACATGAAAAATAGTGAGTCAAAATGATTCAATCAGGTTACACAGATACACCATTTTTGGATCAACACTCAATACACTGATAATAACAAGTATTGGTGAGGATGTAAAGAAACTGGAACCAATCCTC